AAGTATCTGTATGCCAGATAACTAAATTAACTGCTACAGTATCACCTAAGATAGAGAGGACACACAATCAAATCCCTCCAAGAACACAGAAACCACCACCAAGATTCCTCCATTTCCTTGCCCAATCTGCAAGATTTTCCCAAGAAAGGGAACAAACTCAACTATCCCATTTATGCAAGTACATGAATATGCCATTTTGGGATATTTTACCATTTCACTAGACTGATGCACAGAGTGCTCACCATTTTAATCCAGCAACAACACTTTTTACTAAAAAAGATAATGAAATTAAGACTGAGAAAAATATTGAGAAAACGCCTCGTTTCTACCTCTGATCGGCTCCTGTCAGTTCTAAGAGGCACTGTACTAATTTCCTCTGCAACAGTACATTCAGGGTCCTACTAACTCATCATGCCAGAGTAGGAGACTAAGCACTGGTAACTCCCAGAAATACACCATGCGGCACTTTTGCTCCTGGTTCACAGCATTGTCCTGTTCTATCCTTTAATGTTTGTCTGCCCCTTGTTCTCACAAATGTTACACATAACAATTCCAAAATGGGTGTTAGTTATATAATCCTAAAGAGCATCCATTTTTCATTTGAGACATCACCTATATCCACATGCACATTGCACTGGCTCCTGATCTTCAAGTGTCCACCTAGAGAACTTCAGAGGCAGAGAGTGAGCAAAGTCTCCCACAAGTACAAAGAGATTGTGTTCATTGTCCACTAGACATACCTATTCCACAAGGCAGGTCCCATGCTACACCTTGGCACCATCAGAGATCGAAAAACTCTCATTAAGACTGATGAATTCTTCCAAAATCAAGTGTAAAGCTACCATAAAGTCTAATTCCTAAACACCAAAACTAGGATAAGAGGGAAGAAAGTGTATTTGTGATCACAACTAATGTAATAGAACAGTTATTCTGAAGTTACAATGATTAGGACCTCTACCTTTTGACAAAAAACTGTTATTATATGTGCTAGTTTACTTTCTGACAGAGTGAAGCACCCAGTCAAACCTCAATATAAACTGAGGAAAACCTAGACTTGGGAAATCTTTTACCAAGTTCAAGTCCATTCTTATTCTGCATTTTTATTGTCTATTTTTCAAACAGAAAACACTTTTTTTGATGTGGTGGTGCACACCCCTAGACCAGATCTTTCAGCAGAAATTCACTCCCACAGCACTCTGGTCCAGAGCGCAATTCCTTAGCACGTAGTCATGAGAAAAACTGGGCTAGAAAGGGCTTTCTGCAGGTCCCCTCCCATCTCTGTTCAGCTGCTCTGAGCCTTGTCCAGTTGAGCTGCAACTTTCCCAAATGCTGGAGACTCTTCATCTCCCCTTTCCGTGCTTACCAGCTCCCAGGGTGGAAGATTTTTTATGTTCTTACCAGACTTTTTTTCCTTATGACCTCCTGAACAACTTGTGGTATCTGCTTCTCTGTCTTTCCCCGCGCACCTCAGAGCCTGCCTCCCATTTCTCTACAAACCCTTCCACGGGCTACGGCAGCCCGTGATCCCAAGCCCTTCCGCGGTAGAAAACAATGGAATTTTTCTGTTGTTGTTTCTTCTGGATAAGTATTAAGAAGTTTATTCACATTTTCCAAGAAAGAAACAGCATCTCTTTTGTCTAGTTAACGCCTACGTAAATCAAGCACTCGTTGTGAATGCCCCTTCCCAGTCAAGCACTTGCCTCTCCCCATCAAGACTTCATCACAACCTGAAACGGGATTATGAGAAAAGTTCGGTGTTCTCTACAAACGAGCAACCGTGCACGAAACCTTTTGTGTTTGTTTTTCAAATCAGTGCTGGAGGGACGTCCAGCACTGTCCCTCGCCCAGGGCTGTCCCTCCCCGGCGCCGCACGGGACCGAAGCCGATTTAAACGCGGACCCCGGAGGGAGCGGGCGGCGGGGACAGCTGGGGCTGCCGCAAACGCCTCTCTCCAAACCCACACTTTGGGCAGAAAGCCCGGGCGGACCACTGTCCGCCACCGCCCCTCAGATGGCTCCCGGTCCTGTCCCGGGGACGGTCGGCGCGGGGGGACGACAGGAAAAAGGAGAGTCCGAGGCGACTCGCAAGGTGTGGGGACGCGGCGGGGCGGGGGGCTCACCGTGTGGCAGCGCTTCCTGCAGCAGCAGCAGCAGCAGCAGCGGCAGGCTGAGCAGCACCCAGACCCGCATGGCGGGAGCGGCCGGGGCGCTGCGCTGAGGGGCGGGCGGGGCCGGGCCCCGGGCGTCTCGGCGGGGAGGAGCCGGGAGGGGCCGGGAGGGGCCGCCGCTCCCGCGGCTCCCGCTGCTGGAAGGGCTGTCGGCAGTGTGCTGCCCGGGGGGCCGATCCCGCGAACACCCGGCCTTCTTCGCTGAGAACCCCATGTTCTGAGCAGAGCTGCACCCTAGACACGCTCGACCTCGGGGGCACCTGTAGAGCGTCACTGCTCGCAGCGGCTCGGCGGTGACAGCCGCCCTTCGCCACGCGTGACTCTGCAAAGGTGCAAAGCTCTTGGCTGCCTTCGGACCCGTAGCTGGCTCGGCAGAGGGGAGCGGGGCAGCGAGGGCTGTGCAGGTGGTGCCACAGGTGACCCTGCAGGTGCACGTCGGGCACAGAACAGCGCTGGCCTAAGACAGCAAGAGTACGTTTTAAGTCAAACTATTGCACTCACACCAGCCACAGCAAAGAGACTCCCAGTAGCTCAGGAAAAGCTGCCTCACTGTGGAAAACAGAGGAAGTATCTATGTTCCCATTTGGGGCTCCATAGTCCGTGACAATTTTCACGGATGCCTGTGTGAAGCACACTGAGAAGGTGTAGGCATCTCTTCACTGCTTAGAGATGAACGTGATAAGCTTGACATTTGCAGCGTGTATGTTTATGCCCACACTGGGCTGCCAAAAACCGTTTCTTGAAATGTGAGGGTTTCCTTGGAGGAGAAGGGAGCAGAAAATATGACTGGAGGGGCCACAAAGGTAGATGCAAGGCAAAGTGAAGACACTAGACTAGAAGGGGGGAAAAACAATGGCTGTCAAAGATCAAAAGTCTGAACTGTAGTAGACAAGACCACAGTTCAGTGTGAATAAAACTAAACAGGGAATGGTGTCCCTGGCCGCAGCTCCATGGTCATAGCACATGTGAGAGTAGAACAGCTACAGACCTTGAAGGAAGCAGAGGATTCATCTGCATCCACACACACACGCACAAATTAGAAAGGATATGCTGCCCTACTCTCATAAATACACAGACATGCAGAGTTTGGATACCTGCATGCCTTAGCCTGCTCCAAGACTTCACCTGGGGTAGTTGGTTAGTGTGAAAAATCCAGTAGGGCCCAGGTGTGGAGTAAGATGATGAAATTTCATTATTTCTTTTTCATTTTATTATCGGTATATCCTAGACTTGTTGTCCATTACCTGTAGCAAATTAAGAAAAATAGTTGGGTTTTTTTGCTACAGGATATTTTAAAGGTCTTTCCCCCTTTAAACAGTTAGAATGCCATCAAATATTATATTCTGGAAAGGTTATCAGTCTTTTTTTTAAGGTAAATGAATCTCAGAGATAACTCAGAAAAGATGTGTAGTATAAACTGCAAATTTGCATTTGGAAATATTAACAGTTCCTGCTTATGATGAAGAGTGGGCTTTTTTCTTTCATCTACAAAACTGCTATTTGCAATTCTGATGTGCCTTCTTAGGTCAAATATCCTTTTTTCTTTCATACATGGGGTAGGTCAATAATCTAATGGTGTCTGAGCTCCACATATTAGTGTATTTTGGAAAACATGGTAATAGCACATGGAAATAACACTCAGACTGCACTAATTTTAAGACATATTTAAACTGACATATACCTTTTTCCTATGTAGATATATGCAATGAAGAAGGAAAATGATTTTATGAATTTTGTGTCCTAGTTTTAAATGAGTATGCGTGAAAAACCAGCCACATTTTCATTTATTGCCATCAGAAGAACTAATGTAAACCTACATGTAATGACCCCACAAAAGTAAACAAATAGCTTAAATACATCTTTTCAAGTCAATGTTTTAAATGTGATACTTGCGGAATGACTCTTGTCCTCATTTAAATCAGTGGCCCTGTTCCCACTGCTTCATGGGACCAAGATTTTCCAGACCAGTCTTAGTAAGTCTGTATGTACAATACAGACTTACATGACTATTAATAATTTGAAAACTTCATGAGGAATCATATAAGAGTTGCATTATACCTCTGAAAAAAATCCAGTCATAATTCCTCTTAAGTCTGTGAACAAAGATGATTACCCAAATGTTTCTAAAAACAGTGTGGAGAATAAGCTTGGTTTGGCAGTGGGGTTCTCATTGTCAAGGCTATCGTTATTGGTTGCCCAGACACATGCTTTTATTCTCTTGCTATACCCACAGTACTATCCAAAGTTGAGGAAGGTTTTGGGGTTGGTTTGCTTCAGGTTTTTGGGGGAGTTGGTGTTTTGGTTTTGTTGGGGTTTTTTTGTTGTTGTTGTTGTTTTAGTTTGCTTTTTCACAACAAAGGAAAAAAGGAGACAACAATGAGTTTGCTCATCAAGCTCTGAGGTTGAGTGGATACCAGGACAATGCTCTGTGCTTCAGAAAGTTGAGCAGCATGAATGCTGAGGGCTACTCACTCCCTCTGGAAATCAAACCTAACATCATCTCTGGCTTGGCACTGTAACACAAGATGCCTAAATCAAAGGGTGTCATTCTCTATTTCAGTGACTTCTTCAGTGTCTTGAAGCAAGCAGGAAACAAAGATTGCTACTATCCTCATCTCCAGACCGTCCCCATTTAAACGTAAAATGTGGTTGTGTTTTCCCCTCTATAAAAATGCATACAAATTATCATGTTATTTATTTTAAATGTTCTATGATTTGTATAATGTCATGATATTAGATATCTGGAATACTAATGATTTTAATTCACTATATTATTTTAGTGTTAACTAAAACTATAGTGGTATTTAAAGTTACAGCTGTTGTATGAAGTACATACAAGTGACATTCAGCTTTATTTAAAAAATACAGAACAAATACACAATTTTTATCCCACAAAGCACATTTTACAGTAAATGAAGAACAATGTAATTTTCATCAGAATTTGGAACTAAGGTAACTAAAAATGTCACGGATAACAATTCTATTGTAAAGTGGGAAAAAAGCACCATATTCTTAAATATAAGCATTTTTACATTCATAAAAATTCAAAACTTTTTTCATTTCGGTAGAGCACTTCAAAGAAATAAAAATTTGTAGTTTAAGTTGCATCATAATCATCTTATCAACATTTTAAATGCTCAGCAGCATATAATATAGAAATAATCACTAGAATGTACATATGAACAAAAAGGAAAAGTTGAAATGGATATGAATGCTAATTTTTTTTTAAAGTGATGCACACATAACTGTTTTTAAAGATACGAAACACATATTTCACGCTTTACTTTCTGGTAACACAAAAGAGAAAAGCCCTCCTAAACATCAAAATCTTGGTGAAGCTGGAGTTTACCTGGCCAAAGGCTCATGAAACATAGAAAGACAATAGAATTTGTCCAACTGAAAATTAAAAAAAAAAAAAAATATATATATATATATACATAGTTCTGCATGTCAATGCACAGCAATCCTTCAACTTAGCTAATGTTAGGGAGTTTGATTTCTAAAATCAAATGGAAAATAGATCAACACATGGTAAAGGCATTATATTTAGCTTTGGAAAGGTTCAACTATTAAAAATGCAGAGGTTCTCAAAACATATACCTGAAAGAAATACTAAAGGTACAGGAAATTAAAAACAAATACAAATATCCTATACTATATGAAATACCTCCTGCTTTTTCTGTAAAATATATATTTGCTTAACACTGAGTAACCTCAGTGCTTTCAGTGAACATACTGCAGTTTGTACAAACTTCCTAGCAAGTCTAGGAAGAATTAGGGCCCAAGAGCATTAAAAAGGTGCTTTTGTTTTCTTTTTTATGCACTTGAGTAACACATGCCAGCCTTCTTGTGAATTAAATTCCTGCCATAAAAAATGCACCTCAGTGTCAAAGGCCTCATATCTGAATAAAATGATTGCACACTCCCACACAGATTTCCTGCATTGTCAGGGATTTCACCATCTCAGGATGCTTATGGCACACTGATATTGGCACTTGTTAAAACTTCCATGAACACACTATGCCTTATATTTCTTAAATATATATATATGTATATATATATATTTGCATAAATTTTAAAGGAAAGGGGACTAGACTTGTATATTTATCATTTAATAAAATAGGAAATCTACATTTACTCTTTACCAAGTTTTGCATCTAAATTCATTTTATCATTTGAAGTTTCTGGATGACACGGTTAAATTCATATATGTAAGTAACTCTGTATCACTACTATTGACATTTATTCTGATAGTTCTCCAACAGCAGGTAATATAAATGGTTTTAACACATGGAGACATAAACATATTATGACAGATTTCAGGAATCTAATCAGCATTTGTTGTGCAGGAAAAAGCATACTTATTAATAGAATAGTTTCATCCATGATAACAAGCAATGAAATCTAAGTTACCTCATAAAACTTTCTATTGCAGAATTAGAACTGGAATAGCACAAGAAGATAATTTCAGATAACATGAATGATTCAGAAATGTTTTATAACTCTTATTCCTCAGAACAAAAAACACATTTATTTGTGCTCTGTTAAATATAGTTTTGACTTACTTTCTTAAATCCAACTAGGTAAAAATAATTCTTTTATCTAATGACATATCGAGAATGTACCAATGCAAATAAAGTTTTTGGAGGATTTTTTTCTATAAAGGAAGGAAAATCCCAATAGGCTACCTCCAAAAATAGATATTTTGTATTAACACATACCATTATTATTTGCACAGAACAATTTACAATATCAACAACTGTGTTAAAAAATAACAACAATTTAGTTCCACCGGACTTGTGCTTTCAGCTGCTCTCTCAGCAAGTACAGACATAGAGCAAATGTGAGAACAAAATCGGGATTTGTTTCATCCATAGCTCCTGTGTAAGGACTAGCATGGCATGTCCTTTGCTTCTGCAAAGTCCCACTAAAGCATCTGGAATTTCACGACTGCGTATACAAATGCATATCAAACTTACCATAAATATCTTACTTATGGCTTGTCTGTTTTTACTCAGTCACTGACTTACAGTGACTTTAACTATACACACATATAAATAAGCTTTGCACAGCTGAAGAAACCAGAAGTACCCAATTAGTTTCCTTTAATTTCATTTTATATCTCATTAGTTATGTGGATAGTTCCCATGCTACAGCTCCTTCCATCTCCTTTAGCAACATTTGTACAGGCACATTCTATTGTTTTTAAATAATTTCTCTAACAAGGAGCAGGGAGGAGAAATATTCATACAAATAAAAGGAGACACTGTCAATACACAAACTGCTGACACATCCATTAGGTAAATAAGCTAGAAAATTTATTTCCTTTAGTTCTCTCCAGAGGCCTTTGCTAGCCTTGCTTTAGTCAGAAGTTTATTATATTGACAGTATCCTTTCAAAGGAAAATTCCAGTGCAATATAGAAATTATTTTAACCAGTTCATCAAAATCACTATGGGCCAGACAGGTGCAAATGCATAGACAGGTGTGCATACATACATTCTATATGATGGCCTTGGGAGAGAATGCAGTCTTTCTTGCACATCAAAGAGCAACAGCAGTTTGCAGCTTGGGAGCCTGGCTGGCCTGCTCTGTGGCATCAACAGCCATAGGAAAAAGTAAGTCTGTGCTTCCTACACACTGAGATGTGTAAATAATTTTAAAGAGCTGTGTTTCACTGTAGGCTTGTAAAGACATCGTACAAAAACTTTACATGGGTGCTGCTGACTTGCTCCTACAGCAATTGCTTTTTGCAGCTGAGGATTTAAGACTACTGAGAAAGAAGTAATTTTAAGATTAAAAAGAGTGCTGTATTGCTCTGAAAAAAAAACCCAGGAGAGAGACAGAAGCAGCCTAACTAGTTTGGGAGGTTTTTGTTGGTTTTTCTTTTTTTGGGGGGGTTTGGTTGTTTTGTACTTTTGGGTATTGTTGTTGGTTGTTGTTGTCGGTTGGTTGTGAAATTCCAGCTATTATAAGGTGTTTTTCACTGTCAACCAATGTAGCTCTCGTGGCATCTAAAGTTTTTACATGTCATAACAGAGATTAATACTAATGATTAGTACCAGCAACTCTCCATGACAAAGTGCAAGACAGTTCTTACTCTAGGGAAACTGTTTTTGTAAATAAATTCTTGCAAAATGACTTCATATTGTAGAATCCTTCATGGGGCTTGAGCCTACTACTTGCTGAGAAAAAGTGCTAAAACATCTGGGTGCCTCTTAGAGGTGACACGACTTATGTTGAAAGAGGAACAGTTTCTATTTTCATCAGCATTAAATTACTGTTCACCCAGCACTGTTCACCCACAACAATTTCGTTCTTTACATAAATTAGCATTTAGACATCATACCCACATTAATGGATTTGTGGATGTAGGTAGGCTTTGCTCACAAAAAAGTGCTGACATGTTTAAGGCTTTGTGAAGTGCAGAAATACTGTTCTGACAAGGTTTTTTTCCAAAGCTTATACCTCTGTTTTTTTAAACCTCCCCTTCCATCTGAAAAGAAATTTTGTGCATTAAGTTTTCTGAGGAAAAGCCACGTGTAACACCAATATCAGAAGTATCAGTTCTGGCATATGATAAAGGAGAAGAAAGTATTACTAAATGAGTAGTAAGGAGAAAAACTTGATGACTGCTGTATATAAATTATGTAGTCAGGGATAAAATTCTGGCCCTTCTGAAATCAAAAGCACAGTACTTGCTAAATCACATATGACTGTCACTGTCAATACTGTGACCAACAGATTAATTCCCAGATGCTTTTGCAGAAAATAACATAGCTCCTCTTGAGAGTATTATTCTATACACACTTCTATACAGCATCTTTTAAAGAAAAGGCATTCACATAAGCAGAAATCTTGAATATTATTTAGAGGGACTAAAAACCTTTGAAGTATCTTTACTGCTTGAGTTCTCCAGGACTACTGATTAGTAGTCGTGATTAATAAAGGTAAGCAATTATTTCTTTTTACATAAATATATAGTTCTCTATTTTTTACTAAGTATCTGATCCATACAATTACCATTCATTTTGCAAATACTTTCCAGGCTTGAATGAAATTTATCTCCAATGAGAGTTACTTCAGTAGAAAGAAGAAAATTTTGATTGTGACCAAAACATGTAACAGAGATAAGGAGAAGGTATGAAAGGCACTTGTGTCCACAATACATTGTCAAATATTCAGAACTTCTGGCAGATGGTTCTAAAATTCTTCATATTTGATGATTGCCAGTGATTTTGGATGACACTTCAAACAATGCCTCCAAATTTTTGCTTGCCAAAGGGTACTTTTCTTTTCTTTTTTTTAATATAAATATTAATCTCCCTGCTGTCAGTTCTGAAATGATGAAGATGGATTAGCAGCTTGTCCAAAATATCAGTCAGGCCTTGTAGTAAACACTTTCTAGAAGCACAATGTTGGCAGAAAGCTTTTGAAATTTCAGTCTGCAAATGTCAATTAAAGGTTTAAAAGATTTGTGTGTTGGCAGAGATTAACATTCACTTGTCCTTTCATGTGGAAGAAATTGATCCCTTTCATTTGCATTTTCAGGTTCATCCAGTTCTTCCACAGGGTTCTTTTCTTTCAACCCACTATTTTCTGAACAAGAATCATCATCTCCATCATTACGATGACCTTCAACACTGTGTCTGATGCCATAAGCAAAGTAAATGAGGAAGCCTTCCAAAAGGAAAAAAAGAAGTTCACAGGGTTTTCAGGCAAGTAGTGAATTAAAAAGGCATATATTTCTCTCTAGCTGAATATATTTTGCAAAACAATTTTCTTCTTCAGGTATCTGAATCAGAACTCATGCTTCAGGTCTCTCCTGTTTCTATGGGAACTTCCAGTGCATCATTTTTACATAATTAAATGCTCTAATAGGTCATGGAAACTACTAATTTATGTCTAGATGGAATGAATACAATTTCCTAGATCTAAAAGAAGAATGACTGATATACTGGGAAGAAACCTTTTACAAACAGGTTGCTACAAAATTTTGGCTATACTTACTAGGAAAAAAAAGTGTGGCTTATTGGAATTCTTCTTTTTACCTCAAAACTGTACCTAAGATTTTGACTGCATATAAATACTTCTTCTGAAGCATGCTTTTTTTTGATCAGAAATATAAGCTGACTTCTAATACACCACAGAGGTTTTTTTCAAATATTTAAAGGAAAAGAATGTTCTAAGATGAGATTCATGACTTCTAGTTTATGAAGTGACTGAAATGAACAGAATTACTTACCGAGTGCCATCCAGAAGCTAAATCTAATCCAAGTTTCTCCACTTAACTGCACCATCAAGTAAATATTTACCAGTATACTGAATGATGGCAAAAATGGCAATAGTGGAACCTAAAAGGAAATATTTAATATGTTTATAATAAATATATATTTTTTGCATATCACACTTCTGTTATATAACAAAAACTAGAGGTAACACATATAAGCACTAATAAAGAATTGAATTTTTATTTGCTGTTGTTATATAGTGAAATTGTCTTTTTCATTGGGTTTAACCACTAGTTTCTACATATCTTAAAAACTTTTAAAATACATTGTGTTTAATATATATTATCTAAGGCTGTAGGAAAACTTTCCAGTTTGTCTGAACATATACTAATGAATTCTTGTATTTACAGCTGAAAAATATATTTATCTACATATCACTTCTTTCTGAAATCCATCTCCAGCTCCACCAGATTCCTTGACTTTCATCACTATACTTCATTATTTCCATTAAATAATTGATCTTAGAACATAAGTGAAAGCACAAAATGAAAGGACTTATACTCTGGGAGGTGTGAACTATATTGTGGCCCAAAGGACTGCTGACAACACAGACAAGTGATTGTACTCTCATCAGTTTTTGAACTGTTTTCCAGTTTCTGAGTTCTCTGTCCCACTTGTTAGAATCCATCAAAACCTCTCATTAGAGAATAACAGAGTAAATATGTTATTCACCATAAAGGCCATTTTCTGCTGGTTTTGAGGCTGTCTTTGGATGAGGAGAATGGTAACTATGAAGGACACCGCTAACACAGTAAGAAGGCCAATACTCCAGGGCTCCAAGTTAGCAATGAAATGAATCCCATATGTAGTGAGGACACTCAAGCCACAAACCAAGCAAGCTGTATGAAAAACAAAATTATAGAAAAAGTAAATTTCTGCATTGAAGAGGAAGTGACTTTTAAGAAGAGTTGATAGCAAGTCTTCAATATGTAGTATTATCATGAATATGTTTAATTAAAAGAAAATATACTCGACTGCAGATTAGATGGATCCTTCAAGAAGTATAAAGGCATAGAATCATTATATAAAAGCAAACTAATTAGGACAGAAAGAAGGCATGTTATCAGTGAATTTTTAATTCTGTCTTTAATAAAATTCCATTATTTATGTTAATGCATATATGAGTTTGGACAGCTGAATACTTACCTAAGAGGCTCACTAAAAAGTTAACAGTAGTTGCTGTCTGCTCAGTTGGTAAACTGGATGGATTAATCAGGGCCTGAAGACTGAAGCGATTCTCTTCTATCATATTTATCTGTGATTCACTTACTGCAGATTCCCTTTCAGCTGCAGCCAAAGCTGCTTTTTCTGGAGAATATTTTGGTTCCTCATAGGTTACAGTGGGTTGGTATCTGTGCATAAAACAAGCAGGATAATAAAAAAAACATTAAGCTTGCTTTGGGTTTTGAAGCAATATGAATCTAGGAATGTATTTAAATACTAAATTCTTTGCAGTAGTGCATAAGAATTTCACAATTTATAACTGTACTGCAATAGTGTAGGAGTCGGATTACAGGAAGGATGCTGGATGAGGCATCCTGGGAAATGAAGTCCCGAAGTACTCCACACATGGGCAGTGAGATGCCCTTGGTAATTGGTCAAGGGAGTCACATGTTACTTTGAGGTGCATATAAAAGGTGTCATCCAGCATCCTTCCTGTAACCCGACTCCTACACAATAGCATCAGTAGTCAGTATCATATATAAAAAAACTGTAGCAACTCACTTTTTGGATGGGTTTTTTGGGGATTTTTTGGACAGTTTTTAAAGCTACATAAATGCACAAATGGGTCAGATAAATGACCAATCACGTAGAGAAAGAGGGGACAGGCTCTGTTGGTCAACAGCAGAGAAAGTTCCTGACTTGTTTCCCATCCTGTAAGAGGCCTACTAACCTGCATAAACTGAAATTTTACATCTGCTTTGTTTGCATTTAAGTGTATTTTTAAAAATACATATGGTAAATAAGTCACTATAGAATAAAATAGTCTTCTCCTTTAAAGTGTAGATTATTGCGACAATGAATTTTAACTGAATTTAAGCTGTTACACTTTTCTAAGTTAATCACTTACCCTTACGTAATAAAGACTGACTTTTCAATAACAATTTTCTTTAAAAAGAACAATACATAATAAAGTGAGCTATAGCTACCAATATATAAATTTCATTCCACAGTTTACAAACACGATAGATACCAGAGTTTTACTGAGAAGTATTTATAATCTCTTGCTTTGAGAGATAATATTTGCTCTCTCTTCGAAGGCTACCATATCTTGAAGCACTTCTCTGATCTTACATTTCTGGCTAGTGTAAAACAAAGCAATTATTTGAACTTGTTGATCCTGTGAAGGACCTAGAACATCTACACCTTTCACATACAGTCCCCAAAATGTAACAGGCGTGATGTACAGCATAGATTTTATTCATATCAAAATATCATTTGTTGAATTCTGCACACAAGCTTATATTCAGTACCTTTGGGACTAATGCTTGGACCAATACTACTTCTGGAAAATAAAAAGTGTCTAGATTTCACATGAAGCTTTGACTTGACTAACTGCTATACTTCCATGAGAATATACCATTGCTTTCTTTAATGGGTCACTGCTTCTTAGAAATAATTTATACACTTACAGCTGTTGGCCATCTAGCAAAAAACATGCCCTGTAAATGTGACTTCTCTTTATTTACTGACCAACACAAAATAAATCACAGTAGAATATGAAGGCTGTTTTTGACTTACCTAAGGATAAGGACACAGGTTGCCACAAGTGAATAAGCAAGAAGTGTACCAATAGACATCATGTCCACTAAAGCCTTTAGGTCAAACAGAAATGCCATTATAGCTAAAACAGAAAAAATAATGCAAAATTTCCATGAGATTGACACAGAATCATTCAGATTGGAAAAGATGTTTAAGACCATCAAGTCAAACCATAAGTGCCAAGATTAATATTAAGACATTTTAAGCTAAGATTTTCAAATCTGTCCAGAGTCTAACTTTACATTGTTTTACGGACAGCAGTATGAGTGAAATCATGGTAATCCTTAAAACCACATTTTTGAAGCCATTGGTACAGTTCCCAAACCTAATTGCCTACAGTTGGGAATCTAATCTATATAGATAGGCACTGATGAGCCATACAGTCATGCTGCATAATCAAACGCTTCATAGTGGACTTATTTGGACGTAAGTACTTGCACACAATGGGGCCATATTAAAAACACATTTTTATAGGATAAGGTTCAGATCCTGCAGCAGAATCTCACCAAACCTGAAAGGATGGATCCCACTGCCAAACCAGGAAAAGTAATCCAACCCAGTTAGTCATTGGGGTGTAAAATTTCTGCTGAGCTGGGAAAAAGCTCTATGTAGAGAGGACTTTCAGAAGTTGTCTCAAATAAAATAATTTTGTGTTTTGGGTTTTAGTGGTTATCCTACTAAAAATAGTTTTCAAGTGACCTTCAGGAAAGGCTAGCAAAATCTCACAATTTTTTTAAGATCATTCAACTCAGAGGCAGAAATTTTCATCATCCTGGGAGTAATTATAGAAATCTTGTGTCTATAAAAGCTAACGTCACATTCCTTTGGAGATTCTGGAATGTCTTTTTTTGTCTATGCTGTCTGCACACAGATGCACAGAGTTCATCAAGAAATTAGCAGAAACCATCACTAAATGAAAGGCTAATTCCAATTGATTTGAAAAGAGCTTCTTAAAATATTTGTATTTTATTAATATTTTTTAGATGCAGACTTTTTGAAGCATCTCAAACATCGAATCTCAACATCAAAAGAAACTTAAAGGTAGCCTTTATACACTGTGTATATATGCACACCCAAATTTTTCTATATTCAGAAATATTTATATTTAATATTTGTTACTTTTGGGGGTTTTTTTGTTAATATTTGTTAATGTATTTGTAAACAGGTGCATAAGTGCACAAACACACAGACACATTTTTGCCTGGTATTTGATCCTGAAGGAGGAAGCAAAATGTGATATTCTGAAAACAAGACTGCTGGATTACAGAATTTTTATATCATTTGTGAGTCTCCTTTTCCAATTAAGGAAGGTCATCCTGTTTTCTTTAATGACTGTGGATGTTCCTGAATACAAAAATTAATCTGCGGAGTAGATTTCTGAATACCTCACTGCTTTTCATGCTCAAAAGAGCATAGGTAAGCAAAGCTGAGGAAGAACAGAACCTACTATAACCTCATGTACAGTAGCTATATTTAATTTTTAATCCTAGCTTCAAAAGGCTACTCTATAGTTCAGAATGTTCATTAACATTAGAAATAAAGTGAAAAATGCCTCTGTTTCTTACTAAGAGAAAAAAAAGGCACAGTATCGCTTTTCCACTTCTCTTAATTCTACTCCAAGAGACACTGGTAGATCCATTTATGATGAAACTGGACTGACACCAAAACTTTTTGCTAGACTTTCAGCAGTGCAGTTATCACCTGTGAAAAGGTAAGTCACATAATACCATGAGACAGTTGCCTCAGCTGTAGTTTTGACCTGGTAACTTTGATTAAATGGCCAAACATCTAATTTCCTTAACATTTCTTAAAGCTATAAGACTTTCATGCTACAAATGCATAGAAAAATCAGATCATGTAAGCTGTTGCATACATCCATAACTATTCTGGTAGAACTATTTTTGGCCACACGTTACCAAATATGCTTTTTTGTTTTTTAATAGAAGAAGAAATTACTCTTTCTCCAGCAGTAGATAAAGCTGTTTTCAGATCAGCTGTTGACACACCAAATGCCCCAAACTCTCTAAAAGCAGTCCAATGAGGGTTGCAGCATAGCTACAGTGAGGGCTGTGTAACTGCATCAACCACTTTACCAGCTGGGTAATACGGTTTTCTTTCTTCTCATCATTACTGTGATTTCTGATAAAGATCTTGATTTTATCCCACAAAACCACACTTCCAAATTATTGTAGGAGAATATGTTGATAAGATAAATTAAAATAATATAAAGTTGAAACAATAAAAGTAACCCTAAGCAATTTATTTGTACTCTGACCGAAGAAAAGGGAACTGATAATAATGCTTCATGTGGGAAGTCTCCAGGCAGTGACTGTGCCTTTCCACATAATTGTCAAGTACGTGGTGTGAGCAGTTCCAGTCTTGTGGCATCTGAAAATACCCTGCCTATAAATGAAAATATTGTGGTCTCATTTCTGAGATAGCTCAGTTGGTTAGAGCATGGCACTAACACCAAGGTTGTGGGTTTGAAGCCCATATGGGCCATTCACTTAAGAGCTGGGCTCGATGATCCTTGTGAGTCCCTTCCAGCTCAGAATAGTCTGTGATTCTGTGACATTCCACTCAAATGATGGAATTTGGGCACAGCTGCATGTACCTCTGCAAGAAGTATGGACAGAATTGAAACAGTTGTATGTCAAGAATTAACATTAAGAGTTGGCAACAGCTCCCAAAATACTGTTTTGCTAAAATATATGTAGGCATGTATGTGTATACATATATGTGCAGACACACATAACCCCCCAACATACACACAAATCCCTCAACCACAACTTGGTAAGCCTATACAAAACCAGAATCATTTTCTCTGAAAGACAATTTAAAAATCTTTGTATTTTACACAAAAATAGACCCTGCTGAAAATATAATTTTTTTCTTATATCTCATAATAAAAATGTGTCAGTTATTTTTCCCCTCCCTTATAGATGTGATAAGTATATTATGAGTACATCAGACAAGGAAACCCTGTCAGTGAAGCATCAGCCTAAGTAAGGGACACAGATTAAGTAATAAGCTTATTCACCTACAGTGGGTTAATATTTAAAAAAAAAATTGAATTCTTTGACATTAAGGCCATCATCACCACCACCATGATTTGCATGATCGGGAGTTCTTATACCCTTTGATTACTCCGTAATTTTATTCCCATTGTACATGCAAGGGTAATTAACAAGCAGTCCTTTTCAAAAATATAAAGTACCATGCACGTGCATAGAGTGTTTAAATCTCAGTTTTAAGTAACACGGGCTTTGAGAGCTTACCAGAGATGACCCCTGCTGTCAAGGTGGCAGAAACTGGTGCCTGCCTCTTACTCACTTTGGCAAGAAAACTAAAGAGTAAACCATCGCGTGCCATGGCAAACAGAATTCGGGGCAAAGGGAACATAGAGCCGAGAAGACTAGAACAGAAAAATGTATAGTTCAAATACAGGTTATTAAAAGCACAATGCTTTATTGGTAAACCCAACTACACAAAAAGAAAGCTTGGAAGAGTTAATGGGCTCAGGCATAGTTTTCCTTAGGCTCTGTGTCGCTGCTCTTGGTATTTTGTTTGGTTGACTGATGTTCTTGGTTTTGGTTGTTGTTTATTTTGAACCTAGGCTTTTGAACCAGCAGATACAAAATCTGCGGTAGAGAATAGTTTTACTGGTAGCCTACTTTACCTAGCAACAAGTAGATTTGATCATTTCAGTCTGAAGCACGTCAAAGCTGCACAACAGTGGTTTATTTTCATATATGCAACATGTTTAGCAGTGCACCTTTCTTTACAATGATCAACTCTTAGTCTCACCTGCTACTGCACCAGACGATAGAGTAGCAACTAGTGGGGTCTTCGTTTTGGAATTGATTTGAGCTAGACATTTGAAAAGCAACCCATCCTTCGCCATAGCATAGATTACACGTGGTATTGGGAAAATGGATCCAAGAAGACTGAGTAAAAAGCAAACACATGCAACATGGCAAACACAGTTCATGCAGAGTTGTATCATGGAAAAGGTAAACAATGTTAATTAATGGCATCTATAGAAACAAAATGTATGGCTGTAAGACAAAACCAGAAAGCCCCATAGCCCAAGGTACTACAGCTCAGACACAAATAGAATTTTTTTTTTTAACTGCAAAGTTGATTGCTTTTTTTTAATTATTGGGTTTTTTATTTAATTTAGGTAATGAAATTGTGTCATCAGGCAGAATTCAGATTAGCAAGATAACTCTCGCCATCACCATAGTTCTTGGGTGTTAGTGGACCAGAAACATGTTCCAGATCACACTAACTATGAAATTAAGCTTTAGTATTCCTGGAGAAAGTCTGTCAGTCAGAAGCAGCAGCAAATAAATAAGCATTAGTATCATCTCTTTCACGCTGTATTTTCATGTGAGGCTGCTGATTAACAGTAATTCAAAGTAAGCACCATACAAGTATATTGGGCAGATTTTTTCTTTGGATTAAAAGCACCTCTAAGCAAACTTCATTAAGATTGTTCCTTTTTGGTTTTTTTTTTGGAAGAAGTAAAGCTAATTAATTTAGATTTGTTATTAGCAAAACACAGAAAGCTTTTAAACTATTGATAACTTGAAGCTCTTAAACATACTTCTTGAATTAGTTGATTTCTTTCCCTCAAAGAGAAATATTTTTAATTAAGAAAACAAAACACAAAATCATAGCCAGTATAACCTCTGCAGCAAGCACACTAGTTTTTAACCAGGTGAATGGTTTCTTTTCTTACTTTGCAGAATTGACTGTATCACTTAAAGAAGGCACAGCTTTTACATACCGCAGATGTTAAATACATCCAGTAATACTTGTGAGACACAATTGTTAAGGTTAGACATGAGAGAAGTTTTATTGCAAATGAACTGATTTTGATGAATGAATGTACCTTCCAAAAAGAATGTTTCTTTGCAGCTGTAGCTTTGTAAAATTCATTTAAACTACCCTTCTTCTAGTATATTCATATATATAATGTAAATATTAACATCTTTTTACCCTGAGGTAAAAAGTTTCCCTGAGGAAACGAGTTCATGAAATAACATAGTATGAGGTAACTGTATGAACCAAAAATAATCATCCCAGCGTTTTTTCTTAATTATACCTCTACACTGAGGAATATGAAATACAGTTTCCTTTGTTTTGTTCTAAACTGACATCAGTCAACAGACTGAAAGATTAATCTCTCCACAGAAGAAAATATAATTCTTCACTGGAATACACTGAAAAATAGACTAATAGTCCAAATTTCTAAAAAAGCATTTTACCATCTCAGTTCATTTTGCTTTCCAGTATTAATTTCTTTAACTTAGTTTCTGCTTCTATGCAACTTTCATTATTTATCAATGTAAAGGAAAAATTCAGTAAACCCCTCCAAACTGAGAGGACCATGACAACCAGATAGAAAATAACTATAATCCCAGGATGAAATGTCTAACTGTGACATTCTTCAGTCAGCTCTACAATTCTTTTAACATCATTCTGGAACTATTGCCTTTTTCTATCCCCTCCTACATCTAAATATTCCTTTCCTTTAAAGCACTGTCCACAGTCAGCATGCTCATCATCTTCAGGCTGCTTACAAGGTTATCTTGGAGTGCTGTTAGCATTAGTGCTTCCACAGCCATTATGTTTGCCTTTGTGGAAAGGCAGCCAGTATTCTTACCACTGAAGCTCACGCTCAGGTTACAGATTAGCATCAGCATTTTTCAGGCCCTGAATTTAAGTATCAAGCAATTCTCTATTCTATGAAAGCGTTTATACCACATCAAAATTGGGCTGTAATATATATGAATACATACTAATACATCTCATGCCCTCCCTGATCTTTTAAATCAAAGTAACATGTTAAGATTACATCCACAGTTTCACAAAGGGGAATAAATTATAATATTTTGACAGTTATAATCTATATCACAAATACCCACACAGAAACCACAGGAAGAGATGATGTCAGAAGACAGACTGGCTACTAGAGGAAAACAGAGACAGGCAACAAAGATGAGGAGTGGAGTTTAGTTAATCCTCTCTTCAATTTTGCCTGCAAATGCACAGAGCCCATAGAGCTGCTGAGTCATCAGGAATGGACAGCAAGAAAAGACAAAATGGGTGAGGTTGATTTTACCAGTTAATAAAGATAACTTGCAGGTCATATGTTTGAAAATACATACTTTAATAGTAAGTTTCTACCAAAGAGAATACTGTTCAATAACAGTACAGTTTAAAAAAGGGTACTGTGATGTAGACCTGCTTAAGTATAAAATTTGTTTATAATACTTACTGCTAATTCTTTGCATGGACTGAGCCTTCAAAATGAACATGTGAACATACATATAAATGTAATATATTACTCATCAGCTTTTCCCAGCAAAATCAGTATTTCAATGTCTTTACCTTGTAGACAAAGCACAGAGGGATCCCACTGCTACAACATATTTAGCAGGACCCCATGCAACATATTCAAATGCTACTGGCAGAGGACTTTTCTCATCCAGCAGATAGTATGGCATCATAAGTGTCAGTGCAGCTGAAACCCCAAAATAGGCCATGAAGCAGACAAGCAGGGACACCACAATTCCTATGGGTATGGCTTTCTGAGGATTCTTGACCTCTTCTCCTGAAAAAAGGGAGAAAAAACCCCAGCAAAAATTCTTATGAATTTGCGCCTTCAGCTTTAAAAGATAACATCAAAGACAAACTGTTTGTTAATTTAAGTCGTATCTGTAATAGAAGTTTTAAAAATCTGAGTGAAATAAGCTGAGAGACACAGAACAAAACTCACTATTTTGTTGTCAGAAATAGCGTTAAAATAGAGGTAAATTAAAGAACATAAAACACATTATATTTCTAGACTACTCGGAGCCCAGTATTTTTAGTTATTTACCTACAATTTATAGATCAATGTACTCATTCCCTATCAGTCACATGCAAGCCAGCCTCTAGAAGAGACACCTCACGTCAGAAAATTGTAAAAGTGAGCAAGTGATTAACATTATTTGAGCAGAAAAATTGTATGCTAAGCACTTCCCCAACTTAGAAAGCAACAATTAATTTCTTTAGAACAGGAAGAAAATAAGCAAAATCTCCTACTTCATCCCATAACTATAGCCACATTCAGGAGTGAACTTAGGTTCACTCTACACGGAATGAAGAAGGTTTGGGAGAAAGCAAAGTAAGAAGAGTAGACAGATTGTTATGTTGTTTGTGGGGTTTATGGGTTTTTTTTACAAAAAAATCATGTTAAACATATATACACAGACATATAAATACTATACCAGTTGTTGCAATGCAGTCAAATCCTACAAAAGCATAAAAACACGTTGCAGCACCAGCCAATGTTCCTGTGAAACCATATGGCATAAAGCCACCACTCCCATATATACTTGTCACATTTTCATAGGATGAGATGTTCCTATAAACAAGAAAAATACAGCAGAAGGAGAACTTATTTTTTCATTACTGGTAGGACAAACACATGCACACTCCTATCCTATCACTCTAGAGAAACATGTTAAAATGTTTTCATCAAGACAGAGTTCTGCTTTACAAAACTGCATGAGATGACATTTTTATGTCTTGTAAGAAAGACAAAAATAACAGCAAAAGGAAGAATATACGAATCAAGTAACCATCATCTTACTCACTTTGAAGTTTGTGACAAAACATATTAAAACACTAATAGCATATATACCAATAAAACGTGTAACAGAAAACTGCTTGGAACACGAGCAAGTAAATAGATTTTTAAAAATTACTCTGTTACTGCAGTAAGGTTTCTGAGATATTCTTCACTTATTTTCCAGTTGTCAGCATCTCCTTTCACAAAACCAGAAATCATAACGAAGAGTAGGACCAAGATGTTAATAGCAGTGAAAATTTTATTCACCCATGCAGATTCCTTTACTCCAAAAGATAAGAGACCTGTAAAATAAAAATATTTTATAGATGTGAATGGTCTATTAAACTGATAAAATAGCATTTTAAAGAAGGTATATAGGCAAGTAGTGTTAATAATACTAAAAAACAACACCAGATTTTATACTTCTAAAAAGCAGCAGCACAAATTTACTAGACTCTTTAACAGCATGACAATAGGCAAATGTATTGGAAACCACAAAAGGAAAAGCTTCTTTAATGGTATTCTTTAAGTATTTAAAAATATTTTGATCAATGGCTACTTACTGCTTCTCTGAGATGCAAATCCATATCTCTATTTTAATCCATGGAGCAAAAATAGCTACAAGAATTCTATGCTTTGTAAAAACAGGTTGGTGGAATCTATTGTCCTTACAGAACAATTATTCTTTAGATTAAGAATAGAAGTAAAATTATTAGGTTAATAATGTAACCTATTCACTCCACATTTTCCAGAATACATTCATCACAGAGTAAGTCCCATTTCCTAGTTCAGTAATGAAACCTTTAAAAGAAATCCATGCCTCCTGTTCATAACACTGATAGAGATCCTAGAAAAGAGTATGATATGAAATACACATCCTTTAGCTTACAGAGTAGTGCACTTAAACAATCTGAAAGTTATTCCATCAGGATTATACTGTGTCACTAGATTTATAACAATTTTAAGTGTACTAACAGTTTAATGGAAGAGCAGGCAGTGAGAAGATCAGGAAAAATTAAATACAATTGGAAAGCTTTCAGAGGTCCTTTACACTCTAAGCATTTCCACTGTTATCACATACATACTTTACCTCATTATTTAGAGATTAAGTCTGAAAATTTTAAGCCTCTCAAAATCATGTCTGAAAAGTTTCTGACTCCACTAATGAGACATTTGCTATCTTATCAGAACACAGAAGTTATCTTATGAGATATATTTTTCTTTACCAACAGCATTTTTATTGGAAGTAAGTGTATGGTTTCTTCAGCTCAGTTTTTTCCAAAAAGTTAGTGTCTTAGTCAGCCTAATACAGTATGATTCATAATTTGTGCATTTTTTAAGTCCTTTCTGTAGAAAAAAGAATCCCAAACCAGATTTCTGTGTACTTTTCCTTGTGCTTAGCACGTAATATTTTCTGTAAAACATCACCTGCTATTCCTATGATTCAGCTTTGCACAGCTCAAAATCCAATTACTGTGTCATGCTCAGCCTACACAGCCCTGATCCATCCCCACTGCCTCTCCTCTCAGCAGTGAATTCCACCCAGTTCACTCACTGGGGGTTTGGCTCCTTACAACAGATACCAGGAGAGGCAACTGGTCAGTCATTCTAGCATTAGGAGCCAAACAGAAATGTTTTCCTGGGTCCAAAAAAAAGCCGCTCGTAATAGAACAAGAGAACAGGAGGTTACATACATATAAGAAGTTTCACTTTCCAGAGAAGAAAAGTTCCTGCTTTGGTTTGATCTATAGAGAGACTGAACATGACAAGACATCTGCTGAATAATTAAATGCTTCTAGTATTGCCTGAAAACAAACTATACACTTTAGAATACTCTTCCTGCTTCCTTCACTCCCAGTGGCAGTAAGAATGTTTCCTTGTGGAAAGCAATTTTTAATGCAAACAGGAAATAAGTTGCAGTATTTTTGAGTTTTCTGATCCCTCAAACAGCATGTAGTTGGTGTCAATTTTTGTGATGTAAAAACATGATACGTGAGTAAAGATGAAAAAGAAACAAGACTGAGAAGAGTAGACATGAAAGGTTTACTCAGGTTTCAAACTGGTCTTTTGCTTCATGCCAGTACCATAGAGTGCCCTTTAGCTCAAATAAATTCTAAGATAGACAACTCTTCTGAAGACTTAAAGAGAAGAACATTATTTTATACAAAAAACCACGAAAAATTTAGAGAGCAAAAACCCCTTACAAATGCCCACATTTCTTTAAGGAGACCACATCACATCACCGAACTACAGAGCTTAACCTTAAGGTCCCTCCAAAAGCATTTATCAGTGATAAAGCCATGAAAACACACAGAACTGTATAATTTTCCTGTTACCATCAATCTGTATCATGGGTTTTATAAAAGAAGTACTGCCAAGTGATTATAACACGTCTCGGCTTCAACAGAACAGGGTATACATGAAAATTTGATTATATACATTTAATTCACAGAGCCATTCTGCCAGTACAAAATGTGCATCTGAACTTCCTTAAACATTATTAAAAATAATTAATTAATAAATAATTAGTAAAATACAAACTACAGTTTGGCATTTTTGTCTGTAAAACATCACAACCATCATAAATGAAGCGATATATTGTCTTACCTGCTAAAAGTAATATAAGGAATACAGCAAAGAAGTCAGGATACTCTGCTAGCCCAGAGTAATTCATTTTGAAGTAGGTACCGAAGAAATGACCAATCCGTTTTCCAAGAAGTTCATCAAAGGTGCCACTCCAGGCTCTCGCTACACTTGATGTACCTTCATAAAACACATGCATGTTTAGGGTTTTGCATACATACAGCAGGATATAGCTATTTCTAGTGAAAAATAAATAAAACTAAGCCTGTTGCTATTTGCATTTTAAAAAGCAGAGCTTATGCTACAATTGAGTTTGTTTTGCTGAAGAACTTTAATAGAATTTTTGTATGTAGTTAAATGGTAACATATTATTCTACAACTAAAATATAAAAATTTGTGTGCCACTTATTCTCAAAATATTGCAGAAATTATTTCATTTTCATAATTTATATCTGATGTCATTCTGGAAGAAGCTTGTTTCTAAAGGTACAGTATGACATATTTTAAACAATATAAAGTAATGTAAGAAAGCACTTTAAGAAAGAACATGGAGGAAAGTTTGCCCACCTGGAAGTAAAGCAAAAAAAAAAAAAATCATTAGCAAGATATGTGTTGCTACAGTTAGTATTTAAAATTAATACTCTCCTGTGGTAAAGAGTGCACATGGCCAAATGCAACCTTATTTTTACAACTCTCCTATCACGAAATACACTTTAGTACAATACTGGGGCATATCAATTTTTTAATGATTTGGGCAACCATACACAGTTTGTATGAGTGAGGCGTGCTAAAACAAAATATAACATAATGGAAGTTTGGAAGAAATAATTTTTGTATCAAAAAATGTTATCTCTGCTGTAGCACTGAGGTAGTTATTTGAATATCTGCCATATAAGCATTAGTTTTTTTTCAGATCTGGTCAACTTTTTATTTTATGGGATTACCTGATAGGACAGTGCTTAATTAGCATGATGCTATAGTAGCAAATTAGTACTTAAACACCACGACTTTCTTGAAGTGAGATTGGGTCCCTGTAAATGTCCTTGCTGTGTATATTCTGAAAAAAATGCTTATTGATTTTATTGAAATTATTCTTGCTGACCAAAGACAGCAGTGAAATCCTGTTTATTCTTGTGCATCATCACTGAATTGTCTGACCCAATTTTCATACAACGTATGTGGTTCATACTTCTCAAAACACACTCTTACAAAAATATCTTGCAAAAAAACCTGTTTGCAATAGGGATGCACAGGAGGAAATAACCTAATAAAATTACTTTGGTTATTTAATCTCACCAGGACTAAAAAGCAATAGCAGCTAAGTACAGAGACAGAAAGACAGACCTAAATCTTTATCTTATATCTTCTGTCTCAGAAACCACCAAGACCCGTGCTTGTTCCTAAGCTTACCTATAATATAGGATAAAATGAGGTTCCAGCCAGTGATAAAAGCCCACAGTTCACCAACAGTAACATAAGTATACAAATATGCAGAACCAGTCTTGGGGACGCGAGCACCAAATTCAGCATAGCAGAGACCTGCCATCACAGAGGCAAGGGCAGCAATGAGGAAAGAAATAACGATGCTAGGTCCAGAATCAGATTTGGCTACTTCTCCGGCAAGGACATAAACACCAGCACCAAGGGTACTTCCTACTCCCAGGGCTATCAGGTCCACAGTCGATAAGCATCGGCACAACTTGGTGTCCTCAAGGCTTTCACCATTGACATTCTTCTTCCGCACCAGACACCTAATAAAGGACAAAGCTGGTCCACAGGGCAACATGGTGGATGTAGAGCTGTGAAATAAAAGAAATCATTGCAGAATGTAACAGATAGCACAGACACTGGTGAAAAACAATGAAAAAAGTATTTACATAAAGAACTTTAATCACATCTACTAACTAATACATTTACACTCTTCTGTGATGTTAAATAAGCTAGGATTTGCTTTTTCCCCAGGAAAAGAAATTAGGGATATAATATTCCTAATTTTATATTTACTACTTATGTCCCCAGGAAAAAAGATCTTTTGTTATCTTTTGGTTTACTAAACTGCTGTAAAAAATGAAGAGATTTTATCTATTTATCTGCTAATGGCCACTTCTTAACCATTTCTAAAACAGAAACAGTATATTATCTCATATACCATAAGGACTTCTAAAATAAGGATCAACACCAACATAAATAAGGATTTTTGGCATCCGTCAAGGCTATAAACAGCAAAAGCTTTAAAACACAGCATTCTGACAGAGCCAATTCAATCTCCTTTTGTCCTCAAACACATCACTTTTGCCTTTACAATTTGCTCAGTGAGAACTGCTTGAAATCAGATTAAAAGTGTTTCTACTCTCTCCTGCACCAGTGAAGTTTCCCAGATCTAATTATCCTTCAAGAAATCTTGTATGCTTCTCCCTGACAATTATCTAAAAAAACGTGATGGGCTAACTGCTCATCCCATGCCAGCTGCAGTTCTTCAATATTCTGAGTGTGGGGTGCAACCAGCTCTTGCCCACAAGCCCAGATTCTGTGACCAGCCTGGTCCTGGAGGCCAGCATGTGAGTAGCACTTCTCTGGCCTGTGACATGGGGTACTGGGTCTGGCTGAGCTGGAGTTCATAGTGCTGTGCTTTGCATTGGTGGCTAGAAGGGTGTTGATAACACATCCATGTTTTGGCTTCTGCTGAGCACAGCACCAACACTGTAACATTCCTTCCTCAATCAAGGGCAAGATCCTGGGAGGGGACCCAAGTAGGCCAGCTGACCCGAACTAACCTAAGGGATATTCCATACCAAATGACATCAGCTCAGATATAAAAGCTGAGGCAAGGAGCAGGAAGGCAGGCATTCACTGTCTCCAGTGGCTGCCTGCTGAGGAACCATTACATGTGCTGAGGCCCTGCTTCCCAGAGGTGGTCAACCATCGCTGCGCATGGGAAGTAGAGAATAAACTTTGTTATCTTTCACTTCGCTTTTGCGCGCACAAGCTTTTGCTTTGCTTTTGCTTTAATAAACTGCCTTTTCCGATCCCATGAGTTGTTTTCCATCTTATTCTCTTCCCTGTCTGGCTGAGGAGTGATAGAGCAGCTGGGTGGGCACCTGGTGTCCAGCCAAGGTCAATCCACCATACATGGGTGCCTGCTATGAACAGCAATGATCCAGCTTCCCAACTCAAACAAATTATAGCTGAGGGTCCAAAGCATTTGCTTGGGAGGGAGGACACGGGCATCCCATAGAACATAATATCTCAAAGAGGCAGTATTAATGTACAAGTTCTGTCTTTATGTTTTTGTTTGAATTGTATTGTTGATGGCTAAGAGTTTGGTAAGAATCAAGCAATACAATCTGCCATCTCCCCAAACTGATGTTTGTCTTTGCAACTCATATCATAAATATCTATACTCTGCTCATGATTTGTTAAGTGGAACCCTCCTGGGAACTGAAAATCTATTTAATTTATCACAGAATTATAGAATGAACTGGGTTGGAAAAGACCTCCAAGATCATCAAGTCCAACCTTGATCCAACACTGCTGTGGTTACTAGACCATGGCACTAAGTGCCACATCCAGTCTCATCATAAAAACTTCCAGGGACAGTGAATCCACCACCTCCCTGGGCAGCCTATTCCAATGTCTGCTTACTCTCTCTGTAAAAAATTTTTTCCTAAAATTCAACCTAAACCCCCCCTGGCACAGTTTAAGACCATTCCCTCTTCTGCTGGTTGCCTGGGAGAAGAGACTGACGCCCACCTGGCTACACCCTCCTGTCAGGGAGTTGTAGACAGGGATGAGGTCTCCCCTGAGCCTCTTCTTCTCCAGGTGTAGTGGTTTGAACCTTGTTTTCCCCCAGAGGTTGAAAAGTGGTAACCCCCAGGGGTGGAGACCCCTGGAAGTTTTGAAGTTCTGCCCAATTAGCGCTCCTGCAGAAATGTAAACATATCACAAGCACCGGAAGAGAAGGGTTGTAGTTTGGTTGTGGAAGAAGTAGCCATTGTTGTAGGAGCCACGAGGAAAGGGGCCCGGAGCCCCTCGGGGCCTCTGGGGCCCCCCAGCCCCAGCTGGGGGCTACAGGGACCTGGAACAGCATACAGAGACAGAGCAGAAGCGGCGGCAGTGTCCAGAGACTCTGGATAAGAGCCAGGACAGATAAGAACTGAACCGGAGGAAGCAGCAGAAGAGAGAGCCCGCAGCAGAACTTCAGAGTTCTGGGGGTAGGAACTGTACCAAACCCCCAAACTCCTTGAGACCTCCTGGAAGGAGGAAGATGATGGACTCTTGCTTGAAAGAGCCTTGGAGTGCTACAGCACTTGCAGAGAGGAGCTGAGAAGCTCAAAGGCGTCCTGGGAAGCTGGACCGGGACGGAGAAGGAATGCGGGGGGGGTTGACCTTGGCCCCCCTCGCTGCTGCTGCTAAGCTAGCAGCCTTGAGGCAGAGCACAGAGCTCTGCAAAAGGGGAATTTGAATCCCCTGAGGAAAGGGACTGCCACGAAGACCCCTGAGCTTCGTGGTATGACGTGGTGACGCGAGCTTGTCCCTGCTACGCAGTCCACAGAAGAGAAAGACCCTCGTTTTGGAGACGACGGGCCAAGGGGCTTGGAGACCCCCTTGTGTGTATTGAACAGAGATCCAGCTACAACAATCCAGTTACTGCTGCATGCACGAGATGAGGAGAACCTGCTGCCTTAGAAGAAGCTGCCACCCTGAGAGACTGGAAGGGGATCTGTCCTTCTTTCCCTCCTGGACTTTTATTTGGAGGGGAGAGGAGATCTGATCCATTGTAAATACTATATGTCATGGTAGAGATAGTTGTGATTTTGTGTATAATGTATTAGGATATTTATTTGTACAGTCGTAATATATTCCCTTTCCCCCATTCTGAGTCTGGTTGTGTTTTGTCTGGAAAAAAAACCCATCTCACATTAGGTTGAGATGTGGGAGGGGGGATGGAGCTAGGGAATTGGATTTTGGGGCTATCTCAAACCATGACACCAGGCTAAACAGCCTCAGCTCCCTCAGCCTCTCCTCATAGGACTTGTGCTCGAGTCCCTTCACCAGCCTTGTTACTCTTCTCTGGACCTGCTCCAGCATCTCAATATCCTTCCTGAACTGAGGGGCCCAGCACTGGACACAGTACTCCAGGTAGAGTAGATGATGATATTCTGCTGGTATATACCTTCCTGGTCTGTATCAGTTTCCTAGACCAGTTAAGAACATTTCTACTCACAACAGTTCAATCCGCTAACAGAAATGACTTTGCATCAAGATGGATAGCTCAATTAACAGTGTTTGATCCTAGAACAGAGAGTCAGAGCAAGAGAACTGCCACCCTGACACGAGATTGCTTGAAAAAAAAAGTCCCCTTGTGAGAGAGAAATCTATGCAGACAGTTTCTCCCTATTCCTGTCATAGCTCCCCCAAGTACACTCAGACATGCCACTTCTGTCTTCAAGGAGCATCCTGAAGAAAAAAAGTTCTCCATTCCCTTTCAAGTAGAGGGAATTTGATAAAGGACAGTGAATGGAATTGAATAGCTCTGGGCAGAGATGCTTAATGCTCAGAAAGGTGATAGCTGGCCCAGGACAGTAGAAGGAGGCAGAAGGCAAATTTCCAAAGCTTTTCTGCAATTAGGTAGGCCTTTCAGCCTGCCAAGGCTCCCAGAGATAAATATCTGCCCATGGTATGTAGACTTCATCCACTTAGGAGATTTCATACATTAGTTTCAGAACTCAGATGATATTCATGTCAGCAGAGATCCACAAGATCTTCTGAGGGGAATCAGCATTGAATTGTTCAGGCAAAATCCCCTGCTGTGTATCCTGAGCTCTTCAGAAAGAGCAGCCGTTTTTTGGGCATGAGGCTTAGGCACTCCACTCTCACAAATCAGGTTTATCTATCCTGGGCTGTACTTAGACAAGTATTCCTGACTCCACTATCATGGTTTTTTCCTCATAATGACACTTCTGAAACTGTAGCAATCACTTAGGATGTTATATTAATATAATTATTAGTCTGTAGTCCATGGTGACAGGCAGCAATGCTCTTGTGACTCCATGCCCTTCACTTTAGTGATTTCAATGTTGCAAAAGCATAGCTTTTTTAAGGAATTATTCCCCTCTCCCCCCAATGATATTTCATTTGGTATTTCATTAACATGAAAAAATACTCTGGCAGATGTTGTTCTCAGAGCACTAAACAATTTCCAAAACTCCTGTTATTCAAACGACATCTCAGATTGCTCTGCTTCTTTGACATTTGGGACAAGGAGGTTTTAGAGTCATCTTGCAGTGGCCAGGTGAGAGATATTATGGTTTTCTCTGCTGAGAAGAAATCATTGTGACAAAATAGAAGGAGTTTTTCTGCTTTCTCTGATTCTTGTGGAGAGGACAGGAGGCTGGTTCTTGGTGGTCACAAGCCAGTAAGAGGAAACACCTCTTCTGACTCAAATCCAGCCTTTCTTCTTTAGCCTTTACAAACTGCAGCACAACCAAAGACAAAGTTCAATATAAAAATCCTTTGTCTCTAGAGAAAAAAAACACCTCACATGCATGGGAAACATATCTTTTTAGGTATATCCATCCTAACATGGACTTGATGAACAAACGTTCTTTTACAACAATCACTGCAATCCACAATGTCTTGCACTACTTCCTATACTTACTATGCATATATGCATAGTGAGCAATGTCTGAACCCAGCTTCACAACTTCTGTTGCTGTGTACCAAGAGCAGTACTCTATGTCAGATATGGCTGAGACATTCCAAGACTTCCTACTCGATAGGATGGTGCAGCAGGAAGAAC